GGTTAGTACTTGGATGGGTGACCGCCTGGGAATACCGAGTGTCGTAACCTTTTTACTTCACTTTTTTGAAACAAACATGCTGTAATATATGCATATACATATAATTTCAAGTTATTCGTTGAAGATAAAGCCTTGTTTTTTTACATCGGACCATATCTCATTCGAAAGTTATTATTGTTTTGATAAGAACGAGGCAACAAGAAAGTGAAAATAAAACAATTAATAAATGAAAAATCTGTTTTATTTCATGTTTTTATCTTTTTCATGTATTACCTTGTTATTTGAGAAAAAGAAATGGTAGAACATATGACGACTCGAGGAATCGCATATTGTCTTACTACATTTTCTGTTTAGGCTTTCTTTTTTTATACTGACGTCATTTGATTGTGTTATGTGTGCGATTGGAATATTTTTCTGTTCGTTCTTCGTTCTTTTTGTAATTTAAACCTGCGGTACGACGTCTCGAACACCAAAGGTTATTGACTACACTATGCTGGTATAATTTTCAACCGTATCAAGGAAATATGACTCAAACCGCCATCTGTTCATGTACATTTGCGCTTCATCATTACTCATCGATCTAGATTACGATCTGATTTTTTAATATATTTTTATTATTTCATTTATTTTTGCTTTTATATTACTCGAAAATATTGACATGCTTCGAATTTCGCTCACAACTGTTAACTTTTACTAGTGATTTCCTCCGGCATTGTTTAGTTAACAGAAGTATGTTGTAGAGTATCTATTTATAAATAGATTTTTGAAATTCTTTCGAGACAAATTGTAGAATAATCTCTACAATTCATTAATCAAACGCTAGGTTTAATATGTTATATTCTAGGGATGTTAGATAGCGTGGGAAAAAATATCATAACATGAAATGTTTTATCTTGTATGTAGGCATATGATCATGACGACACATATTCATTCTATGTGCTTATTGACCTCTTCTAGTTTTTATTTCTTTTACTTTGTTCCTTATCTTTGTATTTTTCTAAGTAATCCTTAGTTTGTCTCTCGATCATATAAATAAAATTGTTTAGTATATATTTCATTTGATTGATCTTTTAGATTTTCAGTTTCAAATATGGGATGTACAAGTTCAAAAAAATCAAAAATATACATAGGACTTACAACAGAACGTTTGTATTTCTTTCTTTTTTTATTTCTTGTGGTTCTAATAATATTTTTCATTTACAGAAATAGCTTTACTTAAAGAAAAAACTAAATTTACTGAAAAAGGTACAGTATTTAATATATTTTATAATATTCTCAATTCTAATCTATTTTTTAAATTTTTATTTAGAAATTCGAGAGTGGCATTCTGTAAGTTCATACCATACATTCATTTTCAATTTATTTACGTTTCAGTCTTTGTAGGGTTTTTTAAAAGATTGCCCAAATGGTAAACTTCATAAAAGTCAATTGATCAGTGTTTATAAACAGTTTTATCCACAAGGCAATGTTAAACCTTTTTGCAAGTATGTTCCTATACTTCATTTTCATTCAATTTATTTATTTATATAGATATGTATTTGCTGCGGTTGATATTAATAATGATGGTAAAATTGATTTTGTTGAATATCTTTTACAAATTGCTGCATTGACACAACGTGATCTTAACAAACGACTTGCAGCTGCATTTGATATGTAAGCTCATAATTTAGAATTTGTCTTTCTAGAACCCTTTTGATATTTTAGATATGATATTTCGAGAGATGGTGAAATCGATCATAAAGAACTAAGTACTTTGATATCAGCTCTAGTAAGAAATTTATTATTCTATAATTCTTTTACTTATCATGATATATTTTTTTCAGTATGATCTTGTTGGTGAACACGATCGTAAAGGCAATCGTGCTCCAAAGAAACGTGCTACTGATATTATTGCCAAACTTGATATGAGTGGTGATAAGAAATTGAACAAACAAGAATTTATTGCTGGGTATATAATTAATCGATGTTTTTTCTTCTTATTTTCTTATTACTTTTTTTAATTAGATGTCAAAATGATTCAGTACTGCGTCGGATACTTGCACCCACTGTTTGATTAATAACAACTTGTTTTTTTTCAAGAAATGTCTGTGTAATATTAAAACAACTATTTTTCTTTTATTGTCAACTTAAAGTTATACGTGTATTTGATATATAAAATAGTATTATATTCATTTTTTATAGACAAAATTGTTGTTTTCTTGTAATCTTCTTATTCTTTTAAGAGAAAAGTTTCAAAAGATAGAAATTAAACATACGATTATTATTTTGTAACGATTTTACAAAGGATAGAGAAAACTATGTATCAATTATCATAAACCTTTTCATTATCAATAAAAGACTATCTATAAATCGTTGATACCTCATAATTAGGTGAACATGTATCAACCATTCGATTTAGACTACTAAAACATAGTAAAAGCATACTACTGAAGAGCTATGTTTCATTTTTTGTTAATACGTTCAAATAATTTTCGTATATCATATTTTTAATGGAAGCTGAAAAGTCATTAATACTGCACATTTAGAGTGATATATAAAATAAAAACTTTCGCTTACAGCCATACCATGTTGAATACACCAGTTCTCGTCCGATCACTGAAGTTAAGCAACATCGGGCTCGGTTAGTACTTGGATGGGTGACCGCCTGGGAATACCGAGTGTCGTAAGCTTTTTACTTTATTTTTTTCATGCTAATTTCCAAAGCCACTATCATATTTAATTAACTATGCCACCTGACATAATTCTCTTCTTCGACGGATATCTAGTGTTTAGAAATGTATTGGACATGAAAATGACGTTTGTTATTGAATATTCTAAAACGTGTTTCTAAATGATTGTGTAAGTGATATTAGTAGTAATTACAGCTGAAAAACTTTCCAAAGAGTT